GCCATGGAATTTTTTGGAGCCAGAGTGACAAAAGTAAGAACAATGTAGTGGTGAGCAGGACAGATAGGAGGACCTGACTCAAGAGCCCAGAGTGCCAAGTGATGAGTAGGGGATCCAGGACGTTGGAGTAGAAGTGGCAGATTCATATATACATATCTCTCTCCAATTACACTGGGTCTACTTATCAGTGTTTCCAGATGCCAGAGCCACAGCAAATGTCAGAAGGATCGTGTGTTGATATGGTATCTGGAGGGAATTGATTATCATATAGTGTTTTCCTCATCATGTAGCCCTAATACTTTTTTTTAAAGATTTATTTATTTATACAAGAACTGGGGTATAGGCCAGAGGCGTGGGAGGGTGAGAGGATTCACCAGAGACAGAGCGAGGAGCAGAACAGGCAGACTGACCGAAAACACTGCTGAGGGGAGCAGCAGGCGTGACAGGAGAGGTCTGCTGCGCCATATGGGTATCTTCCTGGCCAGCCAGGAATTGAACTGTGCTGCAGAGGCCACGGACAGCTTCACAGCGCTGTGCTCAATCTGCTGCGCCAACGAGGAGGCCCTCGCCCTGATACTTTTTATGGAAATAGTTGATTTGGGTTATTTTTCAGTTTATGAAATGTAAAGAACAATTACAGTTGTGTACAGGAGGCTGTCTCACATATAGCCAAATGTAACAGGAAAGAACTGCTTCATTCTAAACTTAACTTTAAATGACTTTCTTCTGAACACAAACCAAGACCCTGCAGCATGAAACTCACTGCTATTCTTTAGAAGTTCATGCATATGCAACCAGGTCTTGCCAAGTGCCCACCACTTGCTTTACGTATTTTTTTTTTAAAGATTTATTTATTTATACAAGCACTGGGCACAGTCAGAGGCGTGGGAAGGTGAGAGAATTCACCAGAGACAGAGTGGGGAGCAGAACAGGCAGACTGATGAAATACACTGCTGAGGGGAGCAGTGGCAGGAGAGGTCTGCGCACCATGTGGGATCCTCACCTGGCAGCCGGGGATCGAAGCGGCGCTGCAGAGGCTGTGGGCAGCTTTGCAACCCAGCACTCAACCACTGTGCCACCAGGGAGGCCCTGCTTTACATATTATATACCCTGCTTTATTTACTCTTCACACAACAATATGATGTAGGTATTTTACAGATGATAGAATTGGGGCTTACAATAAGAAATATGCCAAAATCACCATTATAACTGGTGGTCTAGTTCAAGAACAGATCCAGGTAACTCATGCCTATCCACTGGGGAGGTCCAAGAGCTCAGATTTTAAATTGGAAGGAAACCAAGTTATTATTGATTCCAAACTTGAGTTAGAGGAACTGAGGCTCCAAGAAGACAGATGTAACTCGCCCAGTCATAAGGAGATTAGCTGAACTAGAACACAACTGTCCTAGTACATGACTCTTTCATGTGACCCTATAGGCTATTTCAGAAGTTTCATAGCTGATGCCACTCTTCCATTTATAAATTATATAAAAGTAATAGGAATGGTATTAGTTTATCTTTTTTAATTGCTGAACAGTATTCCATTGTGTATGTATACCACATCTTTTTGATCTAGTCATCTATTTTTGGGCATTTGGGTTGACTCCAAGTCTTATCTATTATGAATAGTGCTGTAATAAACAGAGGGGTGCAGGTATTCTTTTGAATTAATGTTTTTGTGTTCTTTGGATAGAGAGGATGGAATTAGAAGGAATTATGCTCAGTGAAATAAGTCAGAAGGGAAAATAAAAATATTGGATGACTTTACTTATAGGAGGAATATAGGGGAACCATACAAGAGATCAAGGGAAAAAATAATAACAATAAAAAATATAACAAAACAAAACACAAATAAACAGACAACTATAAATCAGACACATTCTGCAGGGGAGGGGGAGGGAAAGAAATCAAAATGAGGAAGGGAAGAGCACAAGGCACTATGGTGATGGTGCATGGGTATTGCATTGGTGGTGGGAATTCTACGGGGACTACACTGAGAAAAGAAAGCAAACGTTGTAATAAATAAATAAATAAATAAAAATAAACATTAAAATTTTTGGTATGATCCAAAAAAAAAATTAAAAAAATGTAAAAAGAAAATAACAAGTTATCTGAGTATCAAATAATGCAAAGATAACATTTAAAAAGAAAATAACAAGGGGCCTCCCCGTTGGCGCAGCGGTAGAGCGCTGGGTTGCGAAGCTGCCCGCGGCCTCTGCGGCGCCGGTTCAATCCCCGGCTGCTCCCCGGCCACCAGAGGAGGGTCCCACATGGCGCGCAGACCTCTCCTGCCGCCCGCTGCTCCCCTCAGCAGTGTACTTCGGTCCTTCTGCCTGCTCTGCTCCCCGCTCTGGCTCTGGTGAATTCTCTCACCCTCCCGCGCTTCTGACTGTACCCAGTGCATGTATAAACAAAACAAACAAACAAACAAATAAATAAATAAAAACATGCCTCTATTAAAAAAAAAAAATCTTTAAAAAAAAAAAGAAAATAACAAGTTATCTGAGTATCAAGTAATGTAAAGATAACATTACAAGAAATAAAAACCCAACTGCAGTGATTTTCTAACTGACACAATTCATTGCTTCTTTTGAGAAATCAGCCAGCGACCCGACTGGAATCAAATCTTAGGTTCTTCCTAGCCACAACAACAAACAAATAAATGAAACACCTGACTCCTGGGTGGCAGACTAAGAACCTGGGCTCTGAGCCATACACTTCACCCAAGGTATGCGGACCTGTCACATGTCCCCAGCCTGAGTGTGGTGTTCTCTTACACATTTCACAGCTATGTTGTTACTCTGCGGAGCTGTATCCTATTGATCAGGAATGAAAATCATCTCTTCCTCTCTCCTAACTCCTCCTGCTGGCTGTTCTTTCCAGCCAGACTTGATCTGCCAATTGTGTTGTCACCAACACCTCCCCAGAGCTACCTGTCAGGCCTGACCCTGGGCCCTCATGCTTCCTTCTTCCCTCCCTTCTCAACCCCAACTCCCAGCCCCTTTTCCAGGTAAGGCTAGCAAAAAAATGGAGGAAGCGCCCTCTTCAAATTCTCTTTATTTTGTTTTAAATTTTCTTTATTTTGTTTCAAAGTGGTGCTCTACAGTCATAACATAGTCATTTTAGCACTTCTGGTCTATTAAGAGTGATCATGCCCTAATTTATCTCTGAAGAACAGTGCCCAATCATCTCCTTTCCCAAATATCCTGAAGGGTTCTCTCTCATCTTCCACAACAGATTAGCTGATTTGGGTTTCACCTGAAGATCCCTTCACTGACATCCTCTTTCTACATATTTATTTCTAAGTGATATTCTCACAATGTTAGCATTTTTTATTTTCTCTTTCAAGATGTGTAGGCTAGCCTGAACTGACATAATTTTTTTAAAGTTTTACAGTATTTACAAAGAAACCATCCCTTTCACAATACTTTTTTCACCCATCCCAAATTATTTCTTTGAGAGGTAGACATAGCTTGAAGGAAATGGAAAAATGGCATTTACTTATTTACTGTATAGGCCTAAAAAAACACCCCAAAACTTTAAGTGTTTGTAAAATGTGTTTCAGTGTTTCATGTTTTATTTTGATTGAAAAATTCTCATGTAGAAATCAGACTTATCTGGATGACGTGTTTAGGGTTAAGCAGCAAATTATTAGTGTTTAATATTTATAATGCTGCATAGATATTAAAATTAAATATTTATATATATTAAAGAATAACTTGTCCTCTTGCTAATCTTCAATTGAACTAAGTTAGCCTCCCAAATGCTAAATATGTTCCTTTTTCTATTGGTTTTATATATAGCTATTTCATTTACTAAGTGGACTAAGAGTACTTCTACTGACACGCATTGAAATCTATGGCCTCAGTCTGTGCTAGGTAATAGTTACCATACATGGGGCCTCCCCGGTGGTGCAGCGGTTGAGCGCTGGGCTGCAAGGCTAACCGCAGCCTCTGCAGCGCCGGTTCAATCCCCGACCAATAGGCGAGGGTCCCACATGGCATGCAGACCTCTCCTGCTGCCCGCTGCTCCCCTCAGCAGTGTTTTTTGTCAGTCTGCCTGTTCTGTTCCCTGCTCTGGTTCTGGTGAATTCTCTCACCCTCCCGTGCTTCTGACTGTACCCAGTGCTTGTATAAATAAATAAAAAAATAAATAAAAATAAACTTCATTTAAAAAAAATAGTTATCATACATGGTGACTAAGCACTTGAAATGAGACTGGTACAGATTAAGATTTTAAGTATAAAATACAGATCAGATTTCAAAGAATTACCATGAAAAAAAATGTAAAGTATCTTACTATTTTATATTAAATTCATGTTGAAATTTTGATATTTGGGATATCTTGAGTTAAATAAAATATTAAAAACAAAATTACTTTTCTTTTTACTTTCAATGTCACTTACAGAAAATTTAAAATTTCTGATATGCATCACACTTGTGGCTTGCATTATATTTGTCAGACAGTACTACCATAAACACTTTATATACAGAAGTGAATGAATGAGCAAATGAATGAGACTGCTTATACTTTCCTTATCTTTGAAAACAACTCACAATGGTGGAATCACAAAGGAAGGAATCAAACAAATTTAGGGCTTGATAGAAACATTACAATTCAACCCAATCTTTTCATTTTGTAATTGAAATTAAGGAGCCCCAGAGAAATCTGCATGTGGTAATTTTCCTGAATAAAGATAGGAAAGTAAGGTATTAATTCAATACCAGCATTTCCTGTCATTATCAGTGGAAAATGCCTTGGGAATATCAAAAGTACCCAGGTACAAACACTCCAATTTCTAGAGGATCATCTACCCTGCTACCTACAGAAATGTTTCTGCTATAATGATTTCAATGAATACACTCTTTGCAAATGACCACAGCTGTCAAAGACACCCAAGCAAAGTTGCAGTCTCATGGAGAAGAGACCAAGCTGGACTGGGCAGAGCAGTCGAGGATGGACACCTTGGAACAGTAGGACATTGTGACATCATCAGTGATGGTCTTGAATGGTTTACCATTGCTGGCCCCAAGTCTCAGTTGTTACCGCAAGCCCATTCCTCTACCATGAGTGTGGAGCAGCTAAAATCCACAGATCCACATGTACCTTGAGGTGACAGACTGGCTCTGGTGAATATTCCCGTTTTCCTGGTTAGAAGGGGACCCACTGCAATATCGCTTTTGTTGTGAAGAGGACAATAGTGCCTGGTTTCTTAGGGATAGTTTTTGAGGTTTATCACTTGTCTTGATTAAGGATTTCTCTTCCAGTAGTTCAGAATGTGGGGGAGGAGTGCCAGGCAGTCAGTGGTGTCTTTGGCTTCACTGCTAACACTGTAAGGGAGGGGAGAGCCAAAGGATTCCACGTTTTCTCCTCCTCTGGTGACTCTGGCATGAGTGTGGGACTATGGCTCTTATATTAGAATTCCTGTGATTGCAAGAGCCCAGTCCTGATCCTGTCTGCTTTACTCTTTAAAAAACTACTATAATTCTGAATTGATAAGATTTAATGTCATGTTTTACTCCAAATAGGTTACGTTGGTCAGTCTCATTTACTTTTACATAAGAAGGTAAGCTTGAATTCAAGAACCACATTTATGTAAATGTTGGGCAAAATTGAGTCCACCCAAGTTAAGTGTGGGAGGGTGGTGGCTGTGCATCCTAGACTAGTGTCTTTGAACTGTAACTATGTATATATAGTTACCCGGCAGGCTTAATTTTAGCTAGATGAACTACCAGAAATGTTAGCAATCTGTCTTTTCAGATTACTTTTGCTCTTTCTCTTTGCTAAAAGTCAGATTTTAAAAGTATGGAATCCTTGGTTTACCTGTTTCCTTAAATGGAACTGCAATATTTTATGAGCAAATACATTTGTCTAACATGAAATTTTAAGCATCTGAGGCAATATTTTCAAATAAATGTATGTTTGACCTTGAAAATTTACAGTATATTAATTTGTCTATGTAGCTATAGATGAATAGTGAATATCTATGTGTCTGTTCTACACACACACACACACACACACACACACACAGGGCAGAGGATTTCAGCTCAATGTTTTCATCTTTTTTGTTACTGAACTGAAATTGTCCCTTTAGAAAATGGTCTTGACAAATTTTTAAAAATACCTCAAAGACTGAACTAAATACTTGAAACCTCATGACAAAAAAGTAATATGAACATGTTGATGAATATTCTTTTCAAATACAAGTTCTGTTTCATCTTCAGGACTTTTCCATTTTAAAAACCACCAGGGCAATTTTAACAAATATGTTTCTCTCACTAAATAACTAGGATTAAGTTCCCATTTCACATTCAGTACTGTAGCTCAGAAGTGCAATAATGGGTACAGTTGCTACTACATTTACCATCTGACCATATGGTATAAGATACATCTGCCAAGGAGACAGACATTCCTTTACAATAACAATATAGACACAGTCTTAGGGCAGATTGACAGATATTAATATGTATATTCTTTTAATTTATCCAACTATTATCATGTAGCTTGTATGTCATATATGTCAAGCATTCACTTTTGACACTGGACACTCAAAAATGTGCATATCTGGGCCTCTGGCTTGGAGCAGTGCACAGTTTAGCAGAGGAGTGGTCACATTGGTAGATGTTTATTGTATGATGTCATAAGTGGGTTATAGTTATATACAAAGTGTAACAGAAGTATACATGGAATAACATGACTAACTACTGGAATTCAGGGATGGGGTTAGAGGACAATCACAGAGAAGATAATCTTTTGAATGTTGTATGAGGTCTTGGTAGGAAATAGTGTGGTCATACTACTCATTTTAAATCTCAGCTCTACTGTTTACTAGTCAAGGAAACTTAGGAATTAAAGAATCTTATTTAACGTCTCTGTGCTTCAGTTTCTTTATAGAATGGACATAATCCCTAGGCATAGCTCACAAATTGAAGTGAGGATTATGTGAGTTAGCATGAATCATGAGTTTAGAACAGTGCATGATGCCTAGAAAGCCCTCAGTCAGTTTTCACATGTCAGGGATAGCAGAATGAGAAGATGCAGATGTGAGAAAGTATGGCAGGCGTGGCTTATTAAAATTGAAATGTGAGGTGTATTTGTGTGGAAGGTGGTGGTGAATGGCAAGGTCAGTGGATAGATTATGGGAAGAAAGCCTTATATGCCATAACAAAGAAGCTCCTGTTTATGAAGCCTGTGGAAATTTTTAAGGAATAAATTCAGATTTGCATTACAGAAAGACAACTCTGGAGCAGTGGGAAGACAGCAAAAGATTGGTTAAGAGGTTACTGATAACATGAGAAGAAATAATAGAGACTTGTTAGTTGCAGGTAGAGGGTGGATTCAAAAGTTTTTAGAAGGTAAAATTGATGAGCTCTGGTGATGATTAGATAAAGGAGGATGAGGTAGGAGTTATGGATGACTCTTAAATTTCTAGTTTGGATGTTATGGTGAAACGATGGGGAAAAGTGGGCTTGATATAATAAGGTTTTGGATTTGTCAAGATTAACAGACCCGTGAAATGATCAAAATTACTGGTTAGGGATGCCACTTGGGTAGCAGTTGACTTTGTGGGAGTGTGAGTGTGAACATGATATAGGTTGAACACTGGATGAAATTCAGGGATGGTTCTAAAAAGGCTCAATATTTAAAAATCCCAAAGAGAGCTGAGCCAGGGAAGGTCCAAGGAGGAGGAAATGTAGAAGAAAATGGAATCATAGAAAATAATGGAGAGGAAATCAAGGGAGGTGTTCAAATGCCAGAGAGGTCAAGTAGAGCAAGAACTAAGAACTGTTCTGGGGTTGTTAATTAGGAAAAAGATGAAGAAAACCCATGAACTATTTATTACTTCATCAGAGTAAAACAGGATAGGGAGAAAGATAATACAGCAAATTCTCATCATGAATCTAGACTTTGTTAATATTTCAGGTCGAATGCTAGGTGAATTCCTGGAGAACATCCAGGGATGTGGTCCAGCTTTAAGCTTGATGCATGCGGCAGATCTGGCCCAGAGCAGTTTTCCTAAGCCCAGCAAGGGACTTGACACACAAGTATTAAATTGAGTCCTTAAATTATAGGGTTGATCTGGTAACTTTTGCCTGTGTTGCGGGGTGAGGGAGAATGGAGGTGGTTGGTGGTGACAGGTCAACTCAGGTTGCTTCTGTTCTGAATCAAAACCTTGGTTCAGTCTTAGATTTGGCTTTTCTAATAAGGTATGTTTTCTTTCCTTCCCCCTAACAGTATGTGCAAGTGTCTCCTCCCTCCACTTGGATAGTCAATTGAAGTGTTCTGTACTCCTTGCAGCACACCTGTCCATTCGATTTCCAGCTCAGAATGCCGGTATCCTTATAGGACTCAGAATCCAGAATAGGTCAAACCTGCACTGTCCACCCAGCATGATTTCAACTCCTTACTAAGGAACAAAGTTTTCAAAACGTATAATAGGAAGGCTGAACTGAGGGTATATTTAGATCAAGCAGTAGGCCTTGATTGTGTAACTTCAGTCACCTACAACACACTTGGGGCCTTCAATCCTCAGCCCACCTCGTCCAAACCGTCCAAACCGGGGCCGGCCCACCAGTGCCCCTGCCGTGACTTAGATCCCAGAACAGCTCGGGCGTCTCTGTAGAGCTAAAGTGTCCTCAGTCACGTCCACGTGGGTGACCTGACGCAATCCAGATACTGGAATTGTGGGGGGGAGGGGAGAAGATAACGGGGTGGGGGGGGGAGGCCGGGGGAAAGTGTGTGTGTGTGTGTGTGTGTGTGTGTGTGTGTGTGTGTGTTTTTACCATCTCCGCCCCCCACCCTCTTTTTTTTTTTTTTTTTTTTTTGTACTGACGGGGAGGGTTGGCTGGGGACGGATCTAGCGCCTCAGTGCTATACCTTTTCAGTCGCCCCCAGCTGTCCACGTTATTGGCCACCGCTCGTCTCCTCCTGGAGCGGGTGTAGACACAGGCCGGGCCGTCTGAAGGCGGAAGACGCGCGTAGGAAGCGGAGGTGGGTGTCCCCAACCCCCGACCCGGCCCGAGGCGGCCGGGCGCGGCGGGAGGATGTCGGCGCGCGGAGGGCCTGCGTCACCCCCCCCCCAGCCACGCCCGCGCCCCCCGCCCGGGGGGACCCCCGCGCCTGGGGGAAGCCCCGCGCCGGCCGCCCGATGCCCGCCCCAGTTCCTCCGCCTCCCCGAGGCCCGGGGCTGCCTCCTCAGGCCGCGCCAGGGCCGCCCGCACTGCGCATGAGCGGGAGCCCGGCGAGCCCGTGAGAGAAGCCGCCGCCGCCGCCGCCGTCCATTCGCTGCGGAGCCGGAGGAGGAGGGGAGAGGCCTGGAGGACACCAACATGGTGAGGCACTGCGGCCGCCCGGCCGCCCGCCCCGCCGGTTGGGGGCCGGCGCAGCCGCGCACCCCCGCCCCGGCCGCCCTCCGCCCCGCGGCGACCCCGCCGGCCCGAGCCGCGGCCCGCGGCCTCCGTCCCGCTCCCCGCCGGGGCGCTGCTCCCCGCCTCTCCCTTCCTCCTTCGCCCCTTCCCGCCCGGCGCCGCCACTACGCGAGAGCCGAGGAGGCGGAGCGGAGCCGGGCCTAGTCGGGAGCCCGGGGGAGTTTGGGGCGCGGGGAGCGGCCCTCGGGGCCCCTCGCTCGGGCCCGGCGCGGGTGGGGGAGGCGTTGGGGCGGGGGGGAGGGGAGGGGGCAACGGCCTTGCCCCGGCTCGGCCCCCTCGCCGGCTCCATTGTGTCTGGCCGGGGACCGGGGTCCGGGGTTCCGGGTGAGGAGCCTCCCCCCGCCCCGGAGCCGGGGCTTCCCCCTCCGCCCGGCCTGGGAGGAGGAGAGACTTTCCTGGCTCCCCTCTTGCTCCCCTGCTCCCGGCTCCAGCGCCCCCCAAGTCTTCCGGCAGTTTTGCTTGGGGCAGGGTATCACCCCTTTTCCTTTGGCCATCACCTCCCTTTGCGTCCCGTGCTTTTGGAAGAGGAGAGTTTCCCTGGCCGCTTGCTGGAGGTTATATTTACCTCTGCCGCGAACATGGGGGACCGCGGAGCCGGGGGGACCTGCGGGTGGAGGAGTGCGGAAGTGCAACCTGTGCTCAGCTCAGAAAATTTGGGGAAACAGTTTGCTACCTTTTGAGCACATATTTTCTTTGCTTGGGGTGGGAGGAGTGATTGCTGGAGTATGCTAGTTAGAGGCCATTGGTGACTAAAAAAAAAAACAAAAAACAAGAGTTTGTCAAGTTTATTCCTCTTCCCTTTTTTTCGTTTGGGAAGAAAACTGTCCTCGAGCGAGCTGGAAGACGTGGTCGTCAAGTTATGTGTTTACATTTGGGTAATAATGTACCTGCCTCTGTTGAACTCTTGGTTTTTTTAGAAGCGATATCTGACATTATAATCTGAGCATGAATCGAATTCCATGCAGGTTACTGTATGAATAGACAGTAAAAATGAGATTGTCCTTCTTTTTGCTCATGGGAAACATAAAGGCCGCTTTGAGGAGGGCGTCTCTGTGGGGCTGTGTGAAGGGAATGCCCCAGTGTCTTTGTTTTTAGTGGAACTTATTTCTGCTGAATGACGCTTATCTAATGCCGGCCTCCTGCTTGGCAATATTTTTGGTGTCAGGTATGACTATGTAGTTTAGACTACCATATAGTGAAGATTTATGTTCTGTGGTAATTTCCATAAAATGTAACCATTTGTTTTTTGTAAGAAAACTTTACCGTCAAGTACAGGTTCATGTTTGAATTGATATTGCAGTGTTGGAAGATCCTCCACTTTCCAAACAATGCCTGATTTTTTTGACTTACAGACATTACTTCTAAAGTTCCCAGACTCGGCGAATGTGATGATAGTAAACTTGAAGTAATGAAATATAATTGCTGGATAATCTCTGCGAGAGCATTGAAATGTGTTCTGCTTATAATAGTCTCCAGATTAGCAGCATCATCTGGAACCCAGACCTTAAATAATGCTTATCACCTGTTCAGGAACTCAGACTTCCTGTGGTTCATAGGAGAATGCAGCTTGGATTGCAACTTTCAAGCTTCTGTCCTTTCGTTAATATTAAAATAGCTAGTTTGGGAACTTTGCTGTTACTCTTGTGATTATTCAGTAGGTGACACAGAACTCAGATCATGTCACTAGAACTGTCTTGGTATGCTCTTGTTTAGAAAGGAAATCAAAGTGGGCCCTTATAGAAGTTAGGCTATGTGAATTTTTTACAGTTAAATTTTTTTATTATAAATTTATCTTATAATTGTTTCTTGATAGAATTTTTTTAGATTAAAGGTGCATATAATATTTATTTGACTATATCATATGAACATACCCTTATGTTCTGCATTGCCCCAATTAACAAACTCCTGGAGTACAAGAGCGCTTAGAGAGGATACAATTTTTGGACTAACGGTAGTTTTTTGGTGTGTATAATGCAGCCCATTTCTAGAGCACATAGCAATTCTTAGGTGAACTTAAATCATGGAATAGCTAAAGTATTTTGTATAAGGGTAAAGAATTGCTCAGTTAGCCTACTTCACACACACACACACACACACACACACACACAACACACATACAAAGATCAAAAGTAACTCCCAAACTGGGCATTATTGTTACTCCTGAAATATGTTTTAAAGTTGCTTGAGATTTCTGATTGGTTTTCTTATTTGCAAGATGAAGATTGGATTTGATGATTTCTAAAGTTCCATTCAATTAAGATTTTTTTTTGATTATGAGTTTTATTAGATGTATGAGGAGTGTATAATCTACTACATTTCTAAATGGTGTAATCTACTGCATTTTTATAGACTCAGCCTCATAATACTCCTCTTCCCTTTTACACAAGAAGAAATTGAGAGTCAAAGAGGTTTTGAGTTTCAAGTTTATAAAATTATTAGTTGCAGAACTGAAGCTATTTTCTCTTGGTTTCTGTTTCTCCCAGTGTTTGTGAATCTTTTAACTCACATGAAATAAAGAGAAATGATTGAAAATTGAATTTGAAATTATATCATTCAGGTGAAAACCTAAGTGTTATTAAAGCATATATTAAATAACAAAATTCAAATTAATGTATGGCTAATTTGTATCAAATTAATGTTAATTCCCACATTTTTAGGAACTTTTAAAATCGTATGGACTTTGAATTTAAGATTGTGTTTTCAACAAATACAGGAGTTTCAAATGAATGCATACCTCTTCACGGTTGTCTCATGAGAACTTATTTACATTCTTTCCCATATCCACAGAAATTAAAGGAGGGTCATAATTCATTTAATTATTAAAAGCTACTACTACTATTCTAGATAGGGTGTGTGTGTGTGTGCGCCCCGGTCCTGCTCGAGGGCTCCTGCATTCAGTGAAAAGATAAAAATTCCCCACTCTGGTGAAGGTTACATTTTAATAGGAGAGACAAATAGTAAACATAGTATATATGTTTCTTTCTGGGAAGTCCTGTGGGAGAAAAGCAATGTTAGGAGGGAAATTCTGAGTGCTGGGGCGTAGTGGAAGTGGGGTTGCAAAATGGTGTCTGTACCACATATGAGATGGATTTTGACAGACTAGGAGATGAAGGTTAGGCTTACAGAAATATGGTGGGAAGAGAGAGTTTGGGGAGAGAGACCTGTGTAGAGGACTGGAGGAGTGGCAGTGAAGGTGGGAGGGTGGGGAGGGTTGAGATGGGGAATAGGAGGACGGATGTTGGGCATTAGAACAGGCAGGTCTTGATGGTAAGGATGTAGGGATGGATTTGGGTGGGCATAGCTAGGATCCTCGGTTTTTACACTAAGAGAAATGGGAAGTTTTGGAGAGATCTGAGTAGTTTAACAGACCTTGTTTTTTCTGTCACATGTTTTCTGTAATACAATATTATAGAAAATTATTTTTAAAGGTATTTTTAAAGACAACCGTGTGTCTATGGTTTTCTTTATTGTGAGCTTCTTTATACAGGCTTTTGGGCTTTTGAATTCTGTTTAAGATAACTGTTCATAATTCTGTAAAAACTAGTCGACATCAAGTTGTTAGCTGTGCTAATAAAAACAACACAAGAAAACCCCTTTCAAAGATTGCTTGTGAATATGTTGTAGAAATTAGTGGCTACATTCAGAAAATTGGGCCTCCAAGAAAGAGGGCATAGGCCATGCTGTCTGCTAGTTAGACAACTCACAATGGTTACTTATCTCCACACCACTTTGTTAGACAAGTATTGCTACCTTTTTTGAACATTTCTAGAAATGAAGGTTTAGCAGTTCTAAATGATTTGACCAAGGTAAAGAGTTACTGGGTGGCATAACAGGGATTAGAAAAGACTGGTGTCCTGACTTTATTTACTCCTCCCCCACTCAGTTTTAAACCCAGCCAGCACCCTTTGAGTGAAAGTGTAGACTTTATTTATTTCACTCTGGTTTATTTCTTATCACATTGGACCACATTGAATAGTGACCTAGTCGTTTACTATCAAATTGAATGATCTGATGTAAACATATAAGTTATTAAAATTTTTTTTTGTACTTATGGTAAAAAAAGGTTGAAAGTAAAATCCATGTGATTTTTTTTTTTTTTTTGTTTTTAAGTTTTAAGAACTGAGCTTTTTTTTGACTTTTTTGATTATGGCCTTGTAGGTTTGGCCAAGCATAATGAAAATCTGTGAGAAAACCCCTTTTTAAATTTCAGCGTGTAGTGGTCAAGTTGTGATAGTATTAACTATGACATTTGATGAAGAGACTTAGTTCCAAATAGGATTCAGTTGCTTTGTGGACACAAATAAACTCTTGAATAGCCTGCTATCTAGTTTACCTAGTCACTTTAGGTGTATAACCCTGTCCCCATCCTTCCAAGAAAAAGCAAAAACAGAAGGAAGAAATGCCGCTGAAGTGTATGTCATCACTTTGTTGGGTCCACTTTATATAGTTAGTACCTGATCAGTAAGTGTTAATCAGCGTGTCTGCATGATAACATTTTGAGAGATTCACTGTTGAACAGTTCTTTTCTAAAGAATTATGTTGCATTACCCTTTTGAATCCCTA